TAATTTGAATTTTTGGGCGCTCGTTTTCTAGCTCAAAGATCGTTTCGATGTGTGTGGCGGCGCCCGAGCTAATGTTTCAGAGATGCGCCGAGTTAAATTTACATTTGGAACTATGTGTATAACAACCCACGCTGCGGCTATTGTAAGCGCCTACACGACTTGGTCACTCTCTTTTCATTGATTTAAAATACACCCGTATCCATTGTTACTTGATAAATTTAAAATACAAATTGAAAGGGTGTTGTTTTAAATTCAAATGATTAAAAAATAATAGATTGATTTAACAAAATTTTTATGTTTTGATCAAACTTTAAAAAATTTAGTGAAAATAAAAATTAATTGTGTATAATTGAAGTATTTGATACCCTGATATTTAATCAAATTAATTGAAATAATTCTTAAAAAAACTGTCTTGATAAATAATAATAATTTTTTTTTTTTTTTTTATAGAGTTGGTTGTACCACACAGTGTGTACGCACTAACAAGTATATAGGTTTAAATTTACACGGCGCAGCTTAGGCAGCGACTTAAAAATTGGACTCAAACTAATTTAAACTATTATTACCTTTCCGGGGGGGGGGGGGGCGCACCGCTGCACAAACGGTGGAAAACGGGCGCACTTCTCGCGACTATAACTTTAAAAGGAGTTACGATCTAATTTTCTTCGAGCGCCCCTCCCCCTCCCTCCTACCACCGATACGCGCCTATGCACACGAGAGGCCGAGTGGTGTTTTTCTCGGTTGGGAAAATAATAACATCCACGACGACCTTTTCGCGAGATTTTCCATCTTCGCGACTCAAAGAGTAGGGGGGGGGGACAAAGTACAATACCCACATGATTCCGGGCACGAAAGGGGGGTAAGGGAGAGGGTGAAAAAACAAAAAAAAAAAAAAAAAACACGTGCACGCAATTAGCTCGGGACAAAGCCAGGGCGCATTTCACGCAAACGCGGGCGAACCGGGAAACATACGAGGAGGGAAGAGAAATAAACAGGTGAGGATAATCGGGGGCGGAAAAGTAGGCCAACGGCACGTATAGCTCCAGGACTCGGAGGAGGTGGTCTGACGGGTGGACTCGCTCCCTCTATACACTTTCCTCTGTCGTCGCGCGAATGCCTCCCGTATTTTACGCGTGTGCATGCGAAAGTCCGCGAAACTTCTCCTCGAGGGGTGGCGTGCCCGTGGGTTTATTTTCGATGAATCGTGCCCCCCATAACGCGTGTACTGGCTCGCTTTGTGCTGGTACCCCCCTTTTTTTTCTTCTTCTCACCTTCGTCCGTCTGGGCGCTTTTCAATTTTTATATGGGCGCGTTTTCCATTCTGTCGCGCAAAGTAGGTTGGCCATTGTACCGTGCGCCGCCGGGATGTAAAATCCGGGATTTCCAGCCCCCCCCCCTCCACCTATCTTTTGCTCGCATCTTGGGAATACTTCAGAGGAATTCGCCGTGCCCGAGTTCCGTTCGCTCGTGATATTTTTAAATGATATAAAATGAAAGATTTGTATTTTTCGGACAAATGAGCTCGTAAAAAAAAAAAAAGGATATTCGTTGTAACATCTTTCAAGTTAAAAATAATAACATTCTCCAGGTGTTTTTTTTTTTTTTCGTTCTCCCGACACGTACGAGGATGGGATGTGTTTGAGGTCACTCTAATTTTAGATGCATTTTTTTTTTTAAGAGAGCACCTTTTGACCGGCAATCCAAAACTTGGATCGGAGAGTAAATCAGGGTAATGGCACGGCTGTCGGTCTTTAAGTGAGAAATTTTTCGCCCACGTAGTCACAGTGGAACTGGCGGGAGTTTCGACACCAAAGGGATTTTTTCCTTTCCCGTTGACAACGTTTTTTCGCTTGGGCCTTTGCCGTCGGTGGTACCCTACTCGTGTGTATGATAAATGCGCCCCGAGCTTATCGGACGTCGCTCGCGTGTGGTACGGCGGCTCGTCAGTGCCAAATTTTAGTTGGCAACGCCTGTCAAAGTGTAGCGTTTGCGAGCAGCCGCCGCGCACTTTACAAACAATTTCAATCGTCGCCCTCCGCGACAGTGTCCAAGGGGATTTTTCTCGTTAGATTTAAAATGATTAATTTCTGTAGTTCCGCACTTTATGGTAGTTTCGGGCAAGCGCGTAAAAAGAAAAATCTACATGTGCCTACCTGTGTATAGTAAAACTAAAAAAAAAAAAAAAAAAAACAAGGTGCTACGCGCGAGATAATGAATCAGATTTTAATCTTTAAGCGCTGCCGAGCTCGGATATATATATATNTTACCACCCGAGAGGTTGCGTTTTTTTTTTTTTTTCCTTTCGGGTTTCGAGAACGTTTTAGGCGCTCGCGGTGATTGCGTTTTTGCTTTCTTAAAGGCAAAGCTTTGATTTGACTCCAAAAAGTAGAGTTTTTTTTTTTTTTTTTTTTTTTTTTTTTTTTTTTTTTTTTTTTTAATAATGTGTAACAATTACGGGCGTAATTTGGTTTCAACGTTAATGACGGTACGCATATTAATCACATTTTATTAATTAATTGATTAAAACTAATCCGTCTATTTTTAAGAGATTGTCGCATTTCGTTGCATTTTTTCCCGTAATTTCAGAATATTATTGAATGTAAATAAAATATTAAGTATATAATTTATTTCATCACAAAACTGTTACGAAAGACAAGAAATTCAAAAAACTTTCAACATATACTTTGATACTTTGAAAATGCACAACGAAAAAAAAAAATGGTGCTCTACACTCTTGACACATTTCTGGGTGCTATCAATTTCTAAAATGAAGAAAAGAAAAAAAAAATTTTTTAAAAACACAATATACATTTTGCGAGTTGTAGACTGAACCAAATTAATTTTCATAACACGCACTTGCGTCAGGGCCTGGGAACGCAAATTCTCACAGCATCGGTAAACGAAATGGAAATAAAAATGTTAATAATAGCAACAAAAGTCGCTATAAAAAGCCCCCGGGCTAGTGTCACTTCAACGAAGCAAGAGCTGGCAGCGATTCAGTAGAAACACACTCGCGCAACTTACAAACAACCGATGCATCATCGGAGCAGCGCGCAATTACAACAGTCAGCGATGAGACAAGAAGTTGTTAAATTTCATCGCTCCACGACACAACCCGGCGTTTCCATCCCTCGCTTTTATTTGACGTTCATTTCGACGCGTTTCATCATCCTCTAGTGAGAATAGTTGCCCCTGATGGTACACCGAAAATTTCCATATTTGATTCCGGGCGCACAGTCACGAATCACCGGCGATCAATCAACGGCACAGCTCCAGTTGGCCCAGCTCAGTTTACGACCGAATAAACACGATACTCTTTCACCTGGGGGATGATCGATCGGGCGCGCCAGTGGAGCGCATTTTCACGCCAATGACAGAGACCGGCTGAGAGTAAAATAAAAAAAAAAGCATCCCTTGTATAATCGAGTACAGAGGAATTAATACGCGAATCGAAGGAACGGCAAACCAAAAAAAAGGAGGAGGTGGTTCAAAGGAGCATAGTATATGGCCCGTCTCTGGCAGCGAGTCAAAGAGACCGCCGACGCCGTATCGAAAAAAGATCCCCCGCTCGTGCTAAGGGCTCCACACGTACACACAGACCCAAGCAAGAAGTCGAGCTTGTTTTCCGTCCGCGACTATCGCACACGTAAATATTTATTTCCTCGAGCGTTCCCGTTTGATTTGCGGCTGTACGGGCGGATCGGATGGAAATCCGATGGATATGTAATACGAGCGTATTTTTGCCGACTGTGATTGAAAAACCGACCCCCCACCCCATCCTTATTCCACGATGTTTGCGCATCCCTTTCCTTCTCCCCTTTTGGCTTGTATATACGAAAATGAACAGATGTTTCGTTTGACGATAGGAAAAAGGCACGTTTTCAAAACAATAACTCTTTTGCTCTGCTCCCTCGACCGTACACGAAACTGCTTCTGTTTACCTTTATTTTGAGTGGTAAAAAGAGTGCGATGTCATAAAAAGAGGGTAATAAAATGGGTTTTCGAAAAATCTTTGCCAAAGGGCATCTCTTTTCACTTTTCCCTCGCAAAATAGCTCGAGGTGTGAGGAAAAAAAAAAAAAGAAACCTGCGCTGCCGAGCTGTATCCGATAAACGTTTCATTGAAAATACGAAGGAAAAAAAAAGTCACGCTCGAGTAATCGTTCGTCTGATGCGAGCGGTGCAGAATTTGTGTACACAAAAAGGGCTTGCGCGCAGCCCTACAGAGATTCGTCAAGATGGAGAAGAAGGAAGGGATGGGGCGCACAAGTGCCGGGCGGTGCTGCTCTCCCACTTTCGTTTCCGCGACGACAATTCGCGAGCTCCCTCGTGAAGCGTGCGGCACTTTTCTTTTTTTTTTTTTTTTTTTTTTTCTTCTTCAGTACCTCTCTCTACACATATATTTTCTCTCCGTGGGCTATATAGCTGCGACCGAAGAAAAGAAAGGAAGCCTCCTGCCCGCTCGTGCATCGCGATTGCGATTGCTCCCCGACCCTGTCTGCGCGATTTTTCGCTGGCCTTCCTCCATTCTTCCTTTCCGTTCCTTTTTTTTTTTTTTTTTTTTTTATATTGCTAGCTCAGTCGCACGTGAGCAGCATCGAAATTCACCCCCGGGCGACTCCTCCCCAACATCCCTGTGTGTGCGTGTCTCTCTCTTTCTCCCTCGCGTCACAGTCAGCAGAATTTTTCATTGCATTTTGGCCCGTGTGTGCGCGAGTGCGATATTTCCGGCTCTCGCACGGGGGCCAGAGAGTCCCCCGGGCGATATCTCCCCCCACCCCCCGCCTCCTTTTTTTCATCACGATCCCACTCGACGGCGCTGGAAGTAGAAACAGACGAGTCCGGACAGACCGAGCGATTCCGTTTGGGATTTGCTTTTCTTCGTTCGGGGAAGGAGTGGGGGGCGATTGACTTTTCCAGAGGCAGTTGTACATGTATTTTTACTTTAAGTGCACAAGACTCTTGTAGCATATTGATTGATCGGGCATTGTTTTGTTTCAGAGCGCGCGACGAACCAGATGTACCTCCTCGTGGGACGCGCTCACGGATAATCGGCGAGCAGCAGGAGGCATGAGACAGGTGGTGGTGCTGGAGCCCGCGGGCAGCGTCCTCGTGATAAGGCAGCACTCGTTGGCCGGGCTACCGCCGGTGGTAAACGGCTGCTCGGCCCATCACCATCACCACCACCACCACCACCATGACCACCACCATCACCCGGCCATCGCCGCGAAGACGCAAACTACGACTACGACCACCACGACTACGACCACTCGTCGTTGCAATGCCCTTGGCCCTCCTTCGGCCAACACGAGCCCCACCGACCACAATCAGAACCGAATCGTCGTCGTGCGCTCATCCACTGGCCTACAGGTATATATATACGATGTAACACCATGTGTACGCGAAACTGTCAAGGGGGGAGGTTACACGCCGTCACGGTGGTATGTACGCAAGTAAAGCTCCCTTGCGTCCGTCGCGAGATCTTGTTGGCATGATATTCCATCGCTCGCACTCCCCGGTATATGTACACCATTTTCTACCCACCGATTTCTTACTGTTGCGCTAGAGAACATTGCCGCGTTTTTATAAAACGGTTGCGCAATCCTTGCTGGGCGCACGCGAGGGTCTTTCTCTAAGAATATTCTTGTCGTCTATACAACTATTTACGTCTCCGGAGGAGTGAGCTTGGTGTTTTATTTATTTTTTTTTTTTTTTGGGAGAGGAGAGGTTTAACGACTCGACGTGCAGTGCTCGGCCGAAACATCGGGGGCAAAGGGAGCGAGGTTGTTCATTTATAAATTAACAGCCAACGACGTACGGCTGAAAAATTCAGCCCCGTCGTTTTAACGAAACAGGGAGGGTGGGAAAGCAGCCTTCGACTTTGAGTTCAACGAGGGTGGGTGGGAGGTAAAATCTCGAGATGTACGCGCGCCGGCATAATTCAAGCTCCGCAAACGAGAGAACCCCGGCGGCGCTTAATTGCATTAGAATAACATACCGTGTACGACCCCCTTGCAGCAACCCGTTGCCGTTAAGGCAGCGAGTGCGACGGCTAAGAGCGACGAGAGCAACAACAACAACAGCCTCGGTGGAAGCGACGCGGCCAAGCCGAGCGTCGGGGAAAAACAAGCGTCGTTCGACAGCGGAACCGAGGAGCCGGCGGGCGGTGATCAACAGCAGAGCAAGAGCACCGAGGTCACCGTCGTCCCCGAGAAGAAGAACGACCCCGGCACCACGGACGTGCCCGGCACTGGTGAGTCTATACACCCTATGCATGTATATATAAAAAATAAGGAATGTATCGATTGCCCACCCACCCCTCGGCCTGTACCGTTTTACACCGGCACAATAGTGTTTATGCAATTCTCATCGAGACAAAAATGCAAATGGGGCGAGGGTACGTACACCTAATGAACTCTTCGATGGCCCGAATCAATAAAGGAACGAGTGAATCGTGTGCCAAGTTGCACGCACCAGCTTTTTAACGAAGAGAATAGTATATATTCTAATGCTGCACGCTTCTGTACAGGTAACTTCCGTGTACCGTTGGGAAAAGGCAGCGCAGACGGAAGTGCAGGGACACAAAGTAGTGCCCGTATACGAAGTTGGTAATCGATTAATAACGAGTGCCAATTTACATCCCCCACCCCTTCGTGTGCCATGGGTACAACAGTGTGGACAGAGGCTCATATTCCTTTTTTTCTCTGGTTGCGAGCCGGTGCCGTTGTCTCCTCCTTAAAAACGTTTGCCGCGGAGCGGACTATTTTTCCTTTTATTCCCGTCAAACCGTCTCTTTTTATTTGTTCCGGTCGAGCTCGCGCGCTCATCCCAAGGTCACTTTCTCACGCGCACAAGTCTCTCGTCTTGCTCCGCGTTGGTCCCACCCCACTTTTACACGCCAATGAACGAGTGACTCGGTGTGCGTGAACAGCGAAAATCACCCCCCCCCCAACAAAACAAAACAGAGCTCCGTCTGACCAGTTTTGGCTTATACTACTGATTCTCTCCCCCTCGCTCAAACTCTTCAAATTTTCTTTTAGCTCTTGTACCCACGTTGTACAATTACCGTGGATTCTCAAGACTCCCAAATATATATATATACGTAGACACGCGAACTAAATTCCATGGGCGAAGCCCCTCGGATTAGTGGGCGCGGGAGCCCCTGCCCCGACCCAACTTGGACGCAACTTCACGATCGGAGCGGTACGCTCTGTTGCCCGCGCAGCCTCTACCTACTCTATACACAAACTCCGGTGCTCGTTCTTTCGTAAATATTAGGCCAGAGAGAGAGAGAGAGAGAGCTCGATTCATTTTGTCGCGTCGCGTACAACCAGCAGCACCGGTCGGGGGGGTGCGTAAGCCGTTGGCTGCGGTGTGGCACCGCCGGCGCCTATATACGTTTCTACGCGGATAATTCCGTTCGCTGTAATTGGGATTATAGTTTACGGTGCTCGACTGCCGCGGGGTGTAGGAAAGGGGTCGCTTGGATTTGGTCGCTTCGTTACGCGCTCTCTCACGCATATCCTCGCAACATAACGGTGGTGCACGCCCGTTCACTCGTACAGGTATACCAGGTGAAGCCCATACCCGGACCGACTATAACCGTACACCCCGGGATATACGCGTGCCCGGATGCGACTGGCTATATCTCTGTCTCCATCGTGCTGTGTACGAGCGAGATTTACTCGGCGTTTATTGCGCGGAGCTTCTGCACGCTTGGCTGTCCGTGTGTGTGTGTGTACATCGTCTCGAACAGAAGGCGCTGGTGTATCAGAGTGGGTGGCTTTTACGACGGCTTCGCGTTTTTTTTTTTTTCTTTCTTCAATTGCCTGACCCTTATCTCGTGTCTTGTGTGCCCTTCCTGTGGACACCAGCTGGTGCATGTACCCACCTTACGTGGCTGGGTATTTTTATTCCCCGAAATTGCTTCATTGCTTTATTGTTGCTTTATCGCTGTGCTCTTTTATGCCTGCGCTACCTCGCTGGGCTTGATGGCTCTTACCTTACCACCCGAGAGGTTGCGTTTTTTTTTTTTTTTCCTTTCGGGTTTCGAGAACGTTTTAGGCGCTCGCGGTGATTGCGTTTTTGCTTTCTTAAAGGCAAAGCTTTGATTTGACTCCAAAAAGTAGAGTTTTTTTTTTTTTTTTTTTTTTTTTTAAGTATATTTACGTAGAATAATCAGAATAAAACTTTTCAACTTATTCCCTCTTTTGGGATGATCTTCCGTTTGTTGCTACGACTTTGGAACAACATATACTTATCCCTAGGTTTAGTGCAAGTAGGTTTATCCGTGAAAAAGCTCCTTATATCAAGGTAGTGATGAGTCAATTTTTTTTGGTTGCCCATCGAATTTCCAAACGAACCGTACTGATTTTTCTGACATCTCGCAGTGATCCCACAACCAGCTCGGCATCCAGAAACTGTATTTTTCACAGACAGAGGCACTCAAGAGGGGGCTTTATGGCGTGGCGCGGGATCAGGAGCCGCGAGTCTCGAAAATAGAAAGATAAATAAAAATAAAACGTAAAAAAAAGAGGCAAACCGTAAAAGCCGGTAAAATAAAAGGTCGCCCTTCTCACCGATCCACCACCACCACCACCACCACCGCGTTTTCATTACGTATTGAACAAATCGAATCGCGGGTATCATACAAGCTGCACCCGCCACTCACCCTCTTTTTTTTCTTTCTTTCTTTTTTTTTTTTTTTTTTTTTTGTTATATCCTCGTCATAAAAAAAGCACCTTCTCTTACCCCGCTTTTATCGTTCGAACAAGTGTTACGCAAGTATAGCACGTAATAACACACGGAGCTCGGAGACGTGTACACCACTCGTCAGCAGCGCATGAGGAAAAGAGGAAGAAAAAAGAAAGAAATACGAGTCGGTGGAAGAAGCGAGGGAAACAAGGTGAAGCGCCTACTTCTGGATATTATTCGGAATAAGAAGTCGCGAGTTTTTGCACCCCCACCCCCCCTACCTCCCACATTTCGTATATAGTACGACATGTGTCGCGAGACTACTTGGACTCCATTATTTAAATTTTAAACAAAGTCGATCGGCGACAGGGGGACGAGAAAAAGCCTGTTTTGCCATCTTTTGCATCTTAAGCCGCCGAGTACACCAGAAACGAGAGAGACCCTCCTTCATCGTGCATGTCTTTTTTTGAGAAATGCGCGCGTAATTTGAGTATCGATCCGTACCGACGCGGACCTTTTTTCCGAGGGAATTTTTCCCGCAGCGCATATACGTGTCGCCGACACTCACCTTTCCCAGTTTATGACGCCCGAACGAGAGAAGGGAAGTCAAAGAGAAAAACAACCAACGAAACGACGAGTACAGAGGCGCGGCGTTAAAATTCGAGAGCAGCGTGGCATTAAAGCCCCTACATCTGAGTGTTATGTACCTATACACGCGTAAAACTAGAATATACATTCGTTGTCCGTATGGCCCAAGTGTCACTTGTAAATAGTTCAGTCGCCCAGGCGCCATCAAACCACTCGGCGCTGTTTATTTATTTATTTATTTATTTATTTTTTCTTCCCCGGTCGAAATGACGCTTGTACGCGGATCGATGCGCGCGTCGAGTTCACGTGATTTATCCTCGGATTTATCAGCTACTAGTTTTCCTCGAATGAGCCGCGAGTGCTGTTGGTTTATTAATATACGCCACGATAAAAAGGCATTTAGATTTTCTCGAGTGTAAGTATAACACACAAGTAACTCGGGCTGTCAAGTTCCGCAACGTGTAATTGTGCCCAACAAGTAGGCGTGCCCGTATTACATTATTAGTCGCTCAAACGAGCACGCGCGGGACGCTTAATTTATTCGCCTGTACGATATAGCTTTGGTTGTTTTCCTATTGATTTCCTCTTGAAAACTGAGTAAAAAAAAAAAAAAAAAAAAAAAAAAAAAGAAAAAAAAAATCGGTCAATCATCATCATCATAGCCGTAGGGAAGGGGAGGTAAGAAACTGAAAAATGGGTGAAAACGCGAGGAAAAGCTTAACGATCACGCGCACACCGGCTGCACATTGATTTCGCCCTTTTTCACACCGAGGTATGTATGTATGTGTGGGTATATAAGGAGCGATAAAACAATCAACCGGCTAGTAAAGTCCCAATTTCGGAGTATACAGTACACACATACACACAGCTATACACAGCACAGCAGCAGGATGGAGGGAGAGTCGATCGGCTATATTGATTCGTTACGCCGGCGGAACCCCAGAAGTCCGGCCTGCATTCCAAGTAGCTGATATACGCGTGTAGCGTACAACACGGCAGCCAGACACGTTCCACGCGAGAACCGAGGGCCTTTTTTCTTCTCCCGCCCAACTTGATTCTTTTCTTCCTGGGACGCGAGAAAAAGTCCTTGCATATATATATATATGCTGACTAATGATCGAGCGAGGATTACCTACAGAGTGCGCGAAGCGACAAGTATCTCCAAGTTTAGGTCTCTCTCTCTTTCTGTCGTTTCTACACGAGCGAGGGGGTGCGGTGCTTTTAATTTAATTTCGTCCGGCTGAGCTTTCCTTTTCCCCTCGGAGCCCCGGCCGCTCTCCGTGGCCGAGGCATATTGAATTCTTCACTCGGAGCCCTTCCCCCTTATCCCTCTCTTTTTTATTTTCGGATCTAGCGCGGAAAAATACGTGATGTACAGCGAACGAAATTTATCAAACGTAAAATCGATTTGCACACATGTTATGTAAAGAAGGAAAAAAAAGGAAAAAAAAAAGAGGAAAAAAGTGTAATTTACACCGAATGTGCATACAATATATAGTCAATAATCGATCGACTCTATTCGCGGAAAGCCGAAATAGTTGGAGCGCGATGGGGAAGAAGAGGAGGTATATTAACGCGGCAGGATCCGAGCCAAGTAGCCGATAAAAATTCATCGGCTCGCCTCGTGTGGATAACGCGAACCTGTGCATGTGTAGCTTAGCGATCTGTCAATCGGTGTGTTCTTCAATAAAGTTGGACAGCCGGAGACTCGACAATTTTCCCACGGCTTCTCTTTAGTTTGGGAAACAGAAAACAAAAATAAACTTGCAAACTGCATACCAAACTCAACGGGAAAAAAAACGCGTCTGACCAAACTCGCATGTATCTACTTTGAGAGGACGTTTCGTCACTGTTGAACGCTCGGACGCTTGGGAAAAAAAAAAAAAAAGAAAGGGGGGAGAAACAAGCAAAATCACGTAGTCTAGCACCAGTGTAACGTAGATCACTAGCTGCTACCTGGTGGGGCGGCCC